ATTGGTGAGTATCAAATGAATTTTGACAAATGCTTTTTTTCTTTCATCTATGAGGTGGTTTCTGCACTTCATTCTATAGATAAGGCATATTATATCAATTCATCTTCTTATGTTGAACCAACCTTACCATCTTGGCATAAATTGCATTTGGTCATGATGTTCTATCCTTTTTATATGTTGGTGAATTTGGTTTGCTAGTACTTTATTGAGGACTTTTGAATACATAGTTATAAGAAATGTTTTGTAATATTCTTTCCTTGTGATGCCTTTGTTTTTTGTATCAGGGCAAAACTGGCCTCATCAATGATTTGGGAATTTATCCCTCCTCTTTTTTTTTTTTTTGAAGAGTTTATGAAACATGGTTAATTGTTCTTTAAATATTTGGTAAAGTTCACCAGTGAAGCTCTTTGGTTCTGGACTTTCCTTTGTGGAAATTTTTTTTTTTTTACTAAGTTGATAACTAACTCAGGCTCTTTAGTTGATATTGATCTGTTTACATGTTCTATCTCTTCTTGAGTTAGTTTTGGTAATTTGTGTCTCTCTAGGAAGTTCTCATATAATTTGTAGCATCTAATTTGTTGACATATAATTTTTTCACAGTATTCTCTTGTTACCATTTTTTGTTTTTGTAAAGTGATGTCTTCTGTTTCATTCCTGAATTTAGTAACTCAAGTCTTCTCTCCTTTTGCCTTGAATGGTCTAGATAAGGATTTATCAATTTTATTAATCTTTTCAAAGAATCAATTTTTTTAAAAAACTTTCCTCATTTTTCTAGTCTCTACTAAATTTACTTCTACCCTAATTATGTAATCTCTCCTGCTTTGGGTTTAGTTTGTTCTTCTCTTTTTAGTTTCTTCAGATAGAAAGTCAGGCTGCTGATTTGAGACTTTCTCTTTTAATGTAGGCATTTACAGATGTAAATTCCCTCTAAGCACTGCTTTAGCTGCATCTCATAGATTTTCACATACTGTGATTTTGTTTTCATTAATCTCAAAGTGTTTTTAAACTTTCCTTGTAATTTCTTTTTGACTCATTCATTGTTTAGAAATGTTATTTAATTTCCACAAATTTCTGAATTTCCAAAATTTCCTTCTGTTATTGATTTCCAATTTCATTATACTGTGGTCAGAGAACATACTTTATATGACTTTTAAATGCATTGAAATTTATTTTATTGCATAAAATATGGCGTATGCTGGGGAGTGTCTGACGTACGCTTGAAAATTATGTAGATTCTGCTGTTTGGTGGAGTGTTCTGTAGATGTCTGTTTTGTCTAGTTGGTTTATAATGTTGTTCAAGTCTTCTGTTTATTTGTTGACCCTCTGCAGTTCTACCATTATTGAAAGTGGAGTACTAAAGTCTCCCAACTATTATTGTTGAATTGTCTATTTCTTCCTTTAATTATGTCAGTTTTTTTGACTATTTTGGGGCTTTGTTGGTAAGCAGATAAAATGTGTTTAAAGTTGTTGTATCTTCTTAGTGAGCTGACCCTTTTATCATTATAAACTGTCTTTCTTTGCCTCTAGTAACAGTTTTTGTCTTAAAGTCTAATTTTGTTTGATATTAGTATAGCTATTACATCTCTCTTGCGGTGACTATTTTCATGGTGTATCTTTTTCCATCTTTTACTTGAAACCTACTTGTGTCTTTGAATCTAAAGTGTGTCTCTAGTGGGTATCACATAGTTGGATCATGTTGTTTCATCTATAATGCAATCTCTGCTTTTGTTGGAATGTTTGGTCTATTTATATTTAATGTAATTCCATTTATGTGTCCCGGTTTTGTAACATTACAGATGTTTTTGTTATTTTTGTTTCTCTGTGTGGATTCAGTTACTGTTATTTCATTCAGCCTGAAGGACTTCCCTTACTATTTCTTATAGGGCAGGCCTGCCAGTGACATATTCTTTTAATTTTTTTTAACTGGAAATGTCTTCACTTTCTGTTCATTTCTGAAGGATTACTTTGCTGCATTTAAAATTCTTGGTTGACAACCTTTCTTTCAGTGCTTTGAATATGTCATTCCACTACCTCTGACCTCCATGGTTTCTGATGAGAAATCAGCTTCTAATCTTTTCAGGAGTTCTTACATATGATACATTGCTTTTTTTCTTGTGGTTTTCAAGAGTCTCCATCTTTGGCTTTCAACAGTTTGATGATGGTGTGTCTGAATATGAGCTTGTCCTTTATTTTTACTTCATCAAACTTCTTAGATGTATAGATTCATGTTTTTTTTTATCAAATTTGGAAAAATTTTGACAACTATTCCTTCAAATTCTTTTTTTGTCCCTTTTCCCTCTCCTCCTTTCTGGGACTCCCATTATATTCCTCAGACTGGATAATATCAATTGATTTATCTTCAAGTTGACTGATTATTTTTCCTGCCTGCTCAAAACTTTGTTAAGCCCCTCTAATAAATTTTAAAATTTCAGTGACTATACTTTTCAACTTTTGAATTCCTATTTATTTTTCTTTGCATACATTTCATCACTTTACTGATATTCTCTGTTTGGTGAGACATCATTCTCACACTGGCCTTTAGTTCCTTGGACATGGTTTCCTTTAATTCTTTTAACATATTTAGAACATTTGATTTAAAGTCTTGGTTAGGGACTTCCCTGGTGGTCCAGTGGTTAAGACTCCACATTTCCACTGCAGGGGGCACAGGTTCAACCCATGGTTGGGGAGCTAAGATCTCACATGTTTGCCAGTGTGTTAAAAACAGAAAACAAAAACCAAGAAGCAAAACCTTGAATTGTGAAGTCTTGATTAGGCAAATCCAGGGTCTGGGCTTCTTCAGTGATAATTTCTATTGACTAACATTTTTTTCCCTGCGTATGAGTCATATGTTCCTTTTCTGTGTTTGCTTTGTACTTTTTAATTGAAACTGGGCATTTAAAATTATAGAGCAATCCTGGAAATCAGATTCTCCCTCCTGCTCAGAGTTTGTTGTTATTTTTTGTGTCATTGTTTTTTTTGGTTAGTGACTCTACTGAACTAATTCTGTGAAGTCTGTATCCTTCGTCATATGTGGGCCCTAAAGTCTCTGCTTGACTTGCTTAGTGGGAAGCTCATGACTATACAGAAATGTCCTTAACTGCCTAGAACCCGTAAGTCCCCAGTCTTTGCTGATGGGCCGCGTGTGTGTGTTGGGGCACGTCGTTCAACTCCTCCTCTAGCCCTTCAGTTCCTGCTTACACAGAGCCTCAAAGTTAGCCCAAGGATGAGTATCAAGTAGAATGATAATTTTGAGGAACACAAATGTAAACCATTAATACATTTTCAGTCTGTTATCTATTATTATTCTCAGCACAGATCATTTGTTCTTTGTAAGCACAGGGATTTTCTGACTTATAAACACATACATGTATAAACACTGAACTCATATGTCTTACAGACCTCACAACCAAAGAGAAAAATAAAAGAGAGCTTTGAGGTTTTTGGAGAATCTGCGGTTTCATAAGGAAAAGAAAAATAAGCTTCCAAAAAGCAGAGATAGTGTTGGGTAGTGTTTTTCAGCTGCCTGTATCAGAATTACTTGGGATGTTTGTTAAAAGTCAGGTTTGTGGCTCCGTCCCAAATCTTTTGATTCAGAATATCTTTGGTGAGGTTCAGGGTCTGCATGGTAAACTATCTCCCCAGGTGATTCTTATGTACACTAATGACTGAGAAACTATTTATGAGAGATGATTCTGTAGGTGCCTTCATATCAGGGGCTAACTGGCTCATGATATGAAAAGTGAAGTCGTTCAGTTGTGTCCGACTCTTTGCGACCCCGTGGACTGTAGCCCACCAGGCTTCTCCGTCCATGGGATTTTCCAGGCAAGAATACTGGAGTGGGTTGCCATTTCCTTCTCCAGGGATCTTCCCAACCCAGGGATCGAACCCAGGTCTGCCGCATTGCAGGCAGAGGCTTTAACCCTCTGAGCCACCAAGGAAGCCCAGTGATATTAACTATGCTCAAATATTAATCTCACTTTTCAATGTCTGATCTTAAAAAAAATTTCACTTTATTATTACATTTACTTGAAGTCTACCAATTAGAGATTTATTTGCATCTATGAGAATTTTTTTTTTAACAGCTGCCTGAGTTAAAGGATTAACATTTACTCACAGCTCTTTAAAAATTAATCAGTTTGCATTTATCTAAACAACTGATCACAGTGATTTACAAGGAAAGAACAAAGTTTTGTTTTATTTTAATTTGAAAGGAAGATAGATACTTTTGTTGGATTCAGCAAATTTTAGGGGAAAAATAGGCCTGTGTTAATCTATGCAATAAAAGCATGGATTGGAAGGGAATGTAGGAGAAGTTGCTAGATAAAGTAGTGGGTATTTGCCCCTTTCAAAATATTATGCAAACAACCAGAAAAGTGAGGAAACACATTTCTTTCTTCTTTAAATATTACCCTTTCTCTTAGGACCTCGAATTCAGATCAATAAAATTTGTATTAAGGAATTACATCAGCTACTCTAGGGCTAGTTAGGCTCTTGTGGGTTGTCTGAAGACCTAATTACCACTTAAACCATCATGTGGAAGGCTCTTTATGGAAAAATGTCTTCTGGTTTACAAATAACACACTTCCTGATGTATTTTTTGATTCAGCCATTTGAAAGTTTGAGGTTGGATCAAATTTGGATGCATGAAATTTATCTGTGTTAACATTCCAAGCTGATTTCTCCCAATCTTCTGTATACTTTTAGGCCATTTCTCCTTGAGGAGTTTTGTGTTTAATTAACACAAATTCAGTGTTGAAAAAACAATTAAGGGAGTTTAGATTCTTATCAAATTTAATATGTTCAAAGATAGAAATATGATTTAAAAATTTTGATGTTTTGGGTTTTTACTGCTTTGACTTGTCTCTGTTAATGAGAGTAATCAATAGATTCTTCTCCCTTGTCCCTTCAAGCCAGTTTAGGATGCATTATCCTGCCTTCAGTTTCCAGAATTCTATTACAGATGCACAAACTAGTAGCTCACATTTCTTATTTCCTTCAAGGTATTGCACAGCGATGTACAGCTATCAAGTACCACTTTTCTCAGCCAATCCGCTTACGAAACATCCCTTTCAATTTGACCAAGACAATCCAGCAAGATGAATGGCACCTGCTTCGTGAGTATTTCCGGGAAAGGGTCAGAGAGGAAGCGGTGTCTTTCTGAACAAAAACCATTCCCACCAGCCCTTTCAGATCTGGACTGAAAGATGCTGTGCTGATCCTGCGTGGGCCTCTGAGCCCCATCTGACTTGGGCAGAAACTCAGAGGGTCATCTCACTGTGCCGAGGTCACAGCTTGTTTGCGGATTGGATGTGTGAGAGTCAGGCGTGGGGCTCTGGGAGACAGTGCAGCGAGCTTGTCTGTCCTGGTGGCATCTGCATACAAGCCACATCCTGGGTGTTTCCTTTAGCAAGTCATGGGGTACAAGGCCCTGATCTGGCAATTGTCTCAGTGAGCCCAGGAGATTATACCTTAGGTGCTCTTATTTTTGTTTTGTTTATCCAATATTCATTTTAGTTACCGTTTCTGTCTCAGACCTTGGTGTGTCTGTTCAAATATCTTTATGAGTGTATGTTATAATTTTCTCAGAAGATGTCTGTTACCTCCACATCTTGATGGCAGGAACTCTTTTGTTACTATTAGGAAAATGTGAAGGTCTAGAAAGGGTCATGCAATGTGACACCAAAGAAAACTGATATTTACCTGAAAACTATTGATTCACGTTGCCCAGGGATAGATAACCCAGGAAAGGAAAAAAAAAAACACAGCTAGGCCTAATTCTTTTTAGTGTTTACCCCACTCAGAGGTTGACATTGTCATTTCCAATGCAATCAGTGCAAGGACTTCAGTGATCTTGTTTGGTGACCAAAGTCACTACAAAGACAGAGTTTCATTTTGCAAAGTAAAATCTCTCTGCAGAGCAAAGGGCTCTATTTTGAATCTCAAACACATAAATGGAAGCTCTTAAGATACTGCCCACAGCAGTGGTATAATATTATAAATATAGTGATTGCCACATTTAGAACTTGGAAAGTCCTTGGCTTAAATGTGGTTTATTTCTTAATAAACCTGAAAATTCCTAAAAATTATTTTTGGCTGGCTGATCTTAATGGTCATTTCTCAACAGACCTTAGTTAGAGCCTTATCTAAGTGTTCTTAAAAATAACTTTTGAGCATGTTTAGGGTTTTTTGCCTTAATCATCTATCCAGAAAGTCACATAGTCATTGGTTTTAGGTGAGAAAAGATCATTACAGGGTCCTGACAAAGAACCTTGTCTCTTTACTCTAAGAGTTTGTACCCTGTCACTGCCCAGCAAGACCATGTTGAGCATTGTCCTCCTAATCCTCTTTGAGGTTCTCATGGAAAGATGCTTTCAGCGTTCTCAGGCATGGCTCTTTCCAGGACAGTCACACTTGGTGATCTGCACCGTGTCTACCGGATAAGCTTAACATGTCTGGTACTAATGCGAATTCCATGTGGATTATATCTGAACCTTGTGTGTGTACGTTTTAATGGCCATAGAAAATAAAACTTGAATCACAGGGAATTTAAGAGGTTGTGAGATTATGGTGGCTGAGCTATGATGACATTGAATGTCTCAAAATGACTTACACTGTAATATTAAACAGCCCCTTTAAATGAACTGTGTCTGTGACCCCTAGCTCTGTGATGTATACACTTTCCCTTCTAGGCTGCAATGCCCTGATTTAATATAGATGCTCTGAGCTGGAAATAAGAAATTCTTTTGAAAGAAAGGGATGAACCATGTGTGACAAGGCCAAGACTGGAAGCTACTGTAATCCACCCTGTATACACCACCCTGAGTTGCCCAGGAGCCACAGGAACACACAGGGAGGTGGTATCTGCCTGGGCACCTTTGCAGGGCACCCCGCGTTCATGCAGCAGGATGTGCCTATTGTCTGGGCTCTGTATGTGCATAGGTGTGCATGCTCTACCTTGCCCAGGACCGTTGACTGGTCTCAGGGTCAGCCTTATGTTTAGGATCTGTTGCTTTACGAGGGGTCAGAGAAATTTAGCCACAATTTTTAAAATTATCTTCATTCAAATTTAAAGAAGGAGAGAGGAAAATAGAAAAAGAAAATAACAGGACGGTGGGCAATCAGAGTATTCAAAGTGTTCGTTGCTCAGTCATGTCTGACTCTTTGCAACCACATGGACTGTAGCCCACCAAGCTTCACTGTCTATGGAATTCTGTAGGCAAGAATAGTGGAATGGGTTACTATTCCCTTCCCCAGAGCATCTTCCTGACCCAGGGGTTGAACCTGGCTCTCCTGTATTGTAGGCAGATTCTTCACCATCTGAGCCGTCAGGGAAGCCCAGTGCACCCAAGTACATGAAGCCAGTCAGTCTCTTGGTTAAGGCGCAGAAGGTGGGGAGGGGCTGGACTCCTGGCCAGTGATCACAACCGTGGTGGTTTTGTGACAGACCGAACTTGACAGTTGCATATACAGTGGGGTTGGCCATGAAAACAGCCCTTCCTTAACCTGAGTACTTGGATGCTTGGGTTGTAGGACCTGTGTTTAAGGGGAGAGGGCCTTTATGAGCAGATGTCTTATATGTGCATCTTGGGTCCCATTTTAGGTACAACTGCTTTCACTTTCTCAAATCCTTTTTGAAAATAGGTAGGAGGCAAAATAACTGAAAAATAAAATAATTGGCATCCTTGCTGCGCAGGTAAAACCATGTTTCACTGTAGCTGACTTTTTAGACTTTTTCCCCAAAGTCAAATTAATTACAGTCACTGCAGTTGGTGGTGACCTAGGTTTCTGTTGCTCTTTGCAGGATAATAAAGATCCTTTGCAAACCTTCTTCAGTTTGTTCAGTACAACCTTGTTTGTTTGCAAACAAACTCTTAGTTTGTTAAGTAACTCGTTACCTATAACTCTTGCTTGCCTGGTGTCCTCTGGTCTGAGTTCTACTTGGTATGGACTTTTCCATGGATTTAGAGAAGGCAGATGCTGATACCTCAATTGGTTATACCCCATCTGTCCTCTTACTAAATACTTGGGAAGTTTATTTCCTAAATCACCTTGGCCCTGTAGACGCTATGCCTATCCATGCAACTTATTAATTTTCATGATGTATACAGAGCTCTTCATTCTCTAATTTTCAATAACTCTCCTTCTTGTTATTTTGAATGTTTGTATTTGAGATTAGATTTAAGAAGGATCACTGCTGGCTTCCTGGGCATGGCTGTGGCTGTCCTGCTTTGTGGCTGCATTGTGGCCACGGTCAGCTTCTTCTGGGAGGAAAGCCTGACTCAGCACGTGGCTGGACTTCTTTTCCTCATGACAGGTAGGTGGAGCCCCTCTGACACCTTTCCCAGAAAAAGTGAAGGCTATTCTGCAGCATGTAGCTTCACTTTGTTATCTCTCTGTTAATTTTATTTTCACTTGTGAGAAAAGCAACCAAAAGGTTCTTTGGCTTTGGTGGGCAATACAGAATTTAAAGAAAACAGCCATGTTAAAAGCACGGGCCTGATTTCCCTATTGTGGTCCCTTACAAGATTAGATGGAGATGTCTTGGGTTTAATCTCCGTATGAGGCAGATCTGATTTTTCTGTCCCATTCTTTCATATTGTCCCCCTAGCTCTGACATGGACTCTTAGCAAAAGTGGACCATGGTTCTCAGGAACCCTCCAGCAGAGGGTGATAGCTCAGCACAGTCCACGCCTCTGGGCAAGTCAGCTCAGTCCATCCTTAGTGATGGAGTCACTGGTGTCATTTTTTACACACAAAAAAACATTCATTCATTTTATTCTACAGATATTTTTTAAGGACTTCTTATGGGCCAGGCACTGCTTTACATATAAAGACAAACAGAGATTAAGGCAGATAAAATCCTTCTCCATTTCTGTTGTGGGGAGACACAAATGATCATTTGTGACAGTCATAAAAGCTGTGAGAAGGAGAAACGAGTTGGCAAAGGGGACCCTATTCTAATTGGGGAGTGTGCTGCAGGCAGAGGAAGGCCCAGTGCCAAGCCCCAAGGAGGGGTGGGTTGATGCTTATGTTTTGAGCTACAGAGAGACCAGTGTGGCTGGAGAGCAAGGAGGGAAGTGGCACTTTGAATAAGCTTATTTTTGCTTCTCTGGAGTCCTGTTACTCAAGTAAGCATGACTGGGTCTTCTGGCACTTCTCACCGTCACGATCACTTGCTCAGGCCGGTGTTAGCTGGAGGCAGCACCCCTCCGTGGTTGGCACTGTCTCTGTCTTTCATGACTGACAGGTAGATGGTCAACCAGTCAGCCTGCCTAACCCAGTTCTGCCACAGAGGCCCTTCCTTCTAAGTTCTGTGGGTGTGTTTTATACCCGATGATATGGGGCTGTAACTGGCAGTGATCTAGAATCTGGATGATCACTGTGAACATTTAGCATTTAGAGCATTTAGAAGTCACCTGGGTCCTGAAAAATTCTTAGCAGAACATCAACTTTTCCAAATTTAGGGGATTACACAGAGACTGAAGGATTGTAGCCTTGGGAGGCTAAAAATCTTCCCCCTTTTCTTCCCTTCCTTTATTAGCTGAGCCCTCCTTTTTCTAACTCTTGTCCTCATAGACATCAAAGTACAGATTCACTATCCCCAGCCCTGAAAAGGCCCCATGTTGTGTCCTTAGGAAAATGAAAGGAGCTGAGGGTCAGACAAAAGCCTCAGTAGTACTAGTTTTTAAAGGACACTTTTAATGTGGGTAATGCATGAATAATTTAAGATGCTCTTAGATATAAAACAATTGTTGGCATTAAAATAAATCATAGGACCACAAAAGCCAGCCTCAGTGAGCATTCCTTGGGAGGAGGAGGGGCTTGTTTAGTTTTAAATGAGAGGAGGTGGGTCGGCTCGGAGCAGAGTTAGGAACCGAGTTTCTTGAGCCAGCCCCACCTGCCTCTGCTCAGCCCTAAACTGAGTGTGTACCTTTGGGCCAGACTGACTCAGGGCTCAGCAGGGTTTATTATTCAAAGTCCCTGTGCGATTGTTAAACAAGAAAGAACAAGCAGAACAATAGCCACAATAGCAAAACCCCACTGCAACCCCCCTCCAAAATCCCAGACTTGTAAACTTGAAGTTTGATGACCAGTCCCGGAGGATAGACAGACACCACATAACACTGTTTGGCTTTTTTGGTTTTGATTTTGATTGCCCAAACGACATTTTTTTTTTGGACTAAAGAGAAAATCCACTTACAGATGTCACCATCTAAAAAATTAGGTTGTTAAAATATTTTCCTTATCCTAAAGAATTCTTGCCCACATCTTTGTCTCATTAAAACAAAGGGGAGAGAAGTGGCTGTGGCTCTAAAACGGTAGATAATTCAGGGCATTCTCATGATGGAAATGGCCTGTATCTGGACCATGAAAGTGGTCACATAATCTGCACACATGGTGACATTCCATGGATCAAAGTGTGCACACACACAAGGGAGTGTGTATAAAAATGGTGAAATCTGAATCAGGTAGATGGACTGTGTCTTTGTCAGTTTCCTGGTTGTGCTGTTATACTAGGGTCATATAAGATATTACTGTTTGGGGAAATCCAGTGATGGGTGTGTAGGATCTTGCCTACATATATGTTATTTTTAAATTGGGTTATAATTACAGTGTTGTATTAGTTTCTGCTCTACAACATGGATCAGTTGTAAGTGTACATATATCTCCTGTTTCTTGAGTCTCCCTCCCACTCATCCCCCATCCTACTCACCATATTACTTCTTTCAACTGCATTTGAGTCTACAGTTATTTCAGAAAAAAAGTTTAAAGAAAAAAAGAAGAAAAATGTTTGCAACCTTCATCATTTGGGAAGTATTTTGTTTTCTAGGCTTCCACTGAACATTATACCAAATCCATCCCCCATGTTCCTATATTGTTCTGTGTTCAGTTTTTAATCCATTTTAATAGCTGCATTTTCTTTCATGGAGGGGATTTGCTGTGTTGTACTATGGGATTTAGGGAGGTTTGTTTCCTTTTTGCCACTACAAATAATACCTTTCCATTTCCTTGTAAACACTGAGATAGCTGTGTTAATCCAGTACATGAGCTAAATTAGCTATAGGACCTTTGCATGTAGCTGCAGGAGATGAGAGCAAATAAGGGTTAAAAGAATTGATTTTAATTAAGCAGAAATGTCTTTGGCAGTCCTAGTCAGCGTCACTCCCACTGATTTCTGATGCTAATCTTAGCCTCTTCTAAGGCGCTGGCATCTTCACTCTACCTGAATTTATTAGTCAAACCTTCAATGAAGATCATCAGTGATGTGACAGTTTGAGATGTTAAAATGGAAACTTGGAAACAATCTCTCCTTCTGCCGTGTTGCATACAGACGGCTCTTGATTACCCACGTGTGGAGCAGCAGGGCTGTGACTGTCACGTCTGGTCCTAGTTCCCCGGGGGCTCTCAGGCAGTCCTTCAGCTGGGCCGGGGCACAGGGCCGCAGATGGAGCCTTCTGACCCCATGTCCTCTGAGGCTGCACACCCTGTCACCGAGGCGTGTGCAGAGGACTAAGGAAATACAGACCAATGATCCAGGGCGAGGGCTGCCCTTGACCAGACAGCGCTGTCTTCGGGCACTGCTAGTGAGTATGTGCATCAGCTTCAAATGATGCTTTCATTAGATCACCATTGTGATAGAATGATGATTATCATTTGTCAGACATATAAATATCTTCAAAAGTTAATTTATTCAATGCAGATATTTTGGGGCCTCCATTCCCCTTCATAGGCTGGGCCAGGAGTGACCACCGCTAACAGTACAGGGCTTTTGGGAAGCAGATAAAGAAGAAACAGTCCAGGCCACCCCAGCCAAGCGCCGGGAGGGGCACCACCCACGTTAGGCAACCCATTGTTTTGCTTCAATACATTCAATTTTTTTTTTTTTTTTAAAGGCCTCCTCTGTCAGTGTATTGACTTATCTAGGGTATCCATTGATTATTACCTAAAACTATAGGTTCTTAATGCTATATCTGAAACTCTTGGGGCCAGGTGCACTTTGGAATTCAGGATTTAAAAAATATTTTTAAAAATATTTTTAGAAAGGTAATATAGCGCATGTATTCTGTATTATCTAACACCCTAGGCAGGGTCTAAAATCAAATACATTAACATTTCTGCAGCCAAACATATGAATATTCACACCAGGCAGGATCAATAAGGACTATCAATAGCCCTGTGTCACATCAGACCAAGATTTGCTGGTCAGTGACATTGCTGCAATCTCTGAGAAGAAGATTGGATGCTTTCTGGGTTTAGTAGTTGCAGACTGTGGATCATGTATTTGATTTTTTCAAGACGTGTCATCTGTCTCTCTTAGTCCTGCCCAGTCATTTAGTTAAGGCAACTTAGCAATGGCTTTTTGAGTAATATGTGTGAAAGTAGCGTGAGGCATTTTCTTTGTGTGTGTGGAATTGCAGAGACCAGAATGATGGCAGGCCATCTTTTGAAGGAGTGAAAAAAAAAAAAAAATCAATGTTTATGCCTTTGGGTGTTGCAGCTACGTTATTTATCAATCAGGCTAACCAGGATGAAGCAACTTCTGCTCTCTTCTGCCTTTCAAGCACATCAAAGGAGGATGGTCAGAAGAGTGGGCCCAGTTACCCTAATTACTCTGTACTGGCTGGCCACAGGCACTGAGAAGAGTTTAGGGAAGGAAATTAGGTTGATGATCTGGGATGCAGCATACATTCACTGCTTTCCCAATCCGAAACTATCCCTTCCAGTCTTGTAATTCTGTGATATCACCGTATCTTCTAATTAAGAATTTTGGCAGAAAACCTTTTAATATTTTATAAGAAAAGTAACTGCTTACAGGGCTCTTCAGAACCAGTAATTATTCACCCTTTTGAGGATGCTACCAGCAATAGCCAGGACAGAGGCTTGGGACTTATAAATTCCTTTCCCTTGGCACCACCAGCTGGGCTGAAGATTATCAGTGGTGGTTGCCCCAGGGAGCTCCTGGTTGGTCAGGAGAGAGGGGAAAAGGAAGGAAAAGTCTAAGAGAAGAGGGAGGAGAGGTTACCTCTCTCCTCGCAGATTTTTAAGAAGGATCATTTGATTTAGAACTTTGAAATGCAAGGCTGGTACCTTATCTTTCCATGTCCTCATCCCATATCTTGCATTAAATAAGTTGCTACTGACAAAAAAGCAAAATTATCTGAAATAACTTGCTATCTAGATAAATCTCGCATGCTAAAAGTCCCTTCAGTTGTGTCCAACTCTTTGTGACCCCATGGACTGTGACCCTCTAGGCTGCTCTGTCCATGCGACTTCTCCAGGCAAGAATACTGGAGTGGGTTGCCATTTCCTTCTCCAAGGTAAATCTTACAGAGGGCAGTTAGGGATGAATTGGTTCTTAGGTGTGTTGAACTCACTGCTTTGCAGAACTCAGTTCTGTTCAGCAGGTTTTGCTGACTCCCATGTCCTCAGTGCTATTAGGCCCCGTGTGAAACTTACAGGAAGTCTGGGGTAGGGAGGGGTATCTACTCCTTTTCCCTGAGATGCGTGCTTGGAAGTGAATGGGAAGAACATTTGGAGTTCATGATCATGTCAGTGTCAAGAAAAGGATGGCTGTGACCATCAAGAACTCATTCAACTCAGCTACCTCTGATGATAATCAGAACTGGGTCTGGAACCTAGGAGGGGCTTACAAATAATTCTTTTTTATTTTTGGGCTACACCACACAGCTTGTGGGAATTTAGTTCCCTGACCAGGGATCATCTGTGTCCTTGGCAGTGGGAGTGCAGAGTCCTAACCACTGGACCTCCAGAGAATTCCACTTATAAATAACTCTTGAGCAACTGAGTGAAAGAGAAAGAAAGTGAAAGTCGCTCAATCCTGTCCGACTCTTTGAGGCACCATGGACCATACAGTCCATGCAGTTCTCCAGGCCAGAATACTGGAATGGGTAGCCTTTCCCTTCTCCAGCGGATCCCTTCTCCAGGGATCAAACTGAGTAAATAACTCTTAAAATAATAAAGTTTTGCTTAGGCCTCTAAAAGGGATAGAAATGTACTTCATACATTGAACACATGCACACAATGTTATCGGCTAGATTTTGTGGCTCCCTTCCCATTCGTATGTTGAAGTTCTAACTCCTAGAACCTCAGAGTGTGAGTGTATTTAGAGGCAAGGTCTTTAAAGAGGTAATTAAATCTAAATGAGGTCATTAGGGTGGGCCCTAACCCAAGGTGACTGGTGTCCTTATAAAAAAGAAGGAATTTGGACACAAATAGTTACCTGGGGAAGGATATGTGAAGGCACAGGGAGAAGACCCCCAGCTTTAAGCCAAGGAGAGAGGCCTTGCAAGAAACTCACCCTTCTAGGACCTTGATCTCAGACTTATAGCCTCCAGAACTGTGATAAAGTAAATTTCTGTTGTTTTAGCCATCCAGTCTGCTGCTGCTTTCTTAAGGCAGCCCAGGCAACTAACACACATGAAGACTATAAGACATGTGTAGGGAACTAAAATAGAATTCAACAGGGTCAAAACTGACCAAGACTACTAATCTAGCTACACCCAAGATGTTTTCATCCTTTAAACACTTTTCCTTAATATCTTTGAAGTTAGAAGGGTTTTTCTTTCCTCTTCTTAAGAGTTCTTCTTAAGCTGTATAATATTGCCCAGCCCATGAAGAAGAACTATGGCAGCTATGTATGTGCAAAACTTCTTTAGAGCTGTGAGGGTCCAGAAAGGGGAAATTCCTAGATATGCTCTTTGGCTCGTCTTTACTTTTCTCTCACTCAGAACCACTTCAAGAGCATCTTGGAGGGAGAAAAAAATGTCCCCAGAAGAGCAGCCTCTGGGGACAGTTGTGGGGAGGGGGAGGAAAAGACACCAGGCATATTTATGGGCTCATGGAGTCTCCTCTGCCCCATCTCAGCTGAGAGAGTAAAGGCAGAAGGAAATAAAGCAGGTTTCATCAAGGTTTGGTGATGCCCTATTCCAGAAAGAACTTAAGTGGCACAGAAATGTGTATATTTCAAGATAAGGTAAATAAAAATAAGGAATACAAATAAGACAAAGGAGCAATCAAGTCTGCGAGGCAAGATGGATCCAAGGGTGAGGTCAGTAGCCAAAAAGCATGCCATGAATTTGCCAGTTTTTGCTCCTGGGTGTGGGGCGTGGGTACAAATGTACCTTTTAGGGGAGTTTCAGCTCTCTGGCAACTTGGTGAAAAAAAACAACAACAAAAAACCTTGTATTAGTGATATCATTCATGGTGTTCATGAGGTAAGCACAAAGTCCCCTGGGCATGACACTCAGGGCAGAGAGAGTTTAAATCCTCAGGTTATAATCTTTTTCTATTCAGTATGAGCTGGTGTTGTTATGCTAAAATTAATTTCACTCAATAGATGACCAGCCCAAGTTTCGATGCATGAAGCAGGGCTCTTAAAGCTGGTGCACTGGGACAACCCAGAGGGATGGGATGGGAGGAGGGAGGTGGGAGGGGGTTCAGGATGGGGGATGGGGGACACATGTACACCCGTGGCTGATTCATGTCAATGTATGACAAAACCCATCACTATATTGTATTATGTGTATTATTTCTAATTGTTGTACGATCATTGTTTATATAATAAAATGAGGAGAAACCCAGGGGAAAAAAGTTCATTTCACTCAAAGCAGTTTTGGGTGATGGCAGGGGAGAGATGCTAATAAAATCGAAGTTTAGTATAAAATCAAAAGGAGTACGTGCAGAAAGAAAAATTTATGACTCATTCAATTTTTTATTTAGCTGTATAATATTGAGTACGAGATTCACTAGGATTTGGGAAATGGCCTGGCTCTATGCTATATTGTGGAATAATAGAGCCCTGAAAATTGACACAGTGAGGGACTTCAGGAACCAAGCCCCCATTTTTTTTCCTAGATGAAACTCAGAGAGGTTAGGTAATTTCAAGGTCACACAGTGATTAGTAGTAGAGCTGGGGACCAGAATACATATTACCTTCATCCCAGCCCTGTGCATTTGGACATCAAAGGATGCTTAAGAGTCAATTTGAACTCATACTTTCTGAGGTCATTAAAAATATGTTACTCGTAAAAAGCTTCACTTTCAAGCACTCAGCTGTGTGCAGACAGATAAATGCAGATTAGAGTTTGTTCTCCTGTGAGAAGGTTACTGTTCTATTTTTAATATTTTACCTGTTGATACTCTAGAGATCAAATTCTTCTGCCTATTGTCTTATTACCAGCACTCATTAGATGGACCTTGTTACATATAAAACATTGTCTTTGTTTTGCTGCCAGTGAAAACATTCATGTAGATGCAAGAACATTTGCTCTTTATATGGTTTGAAAAAAAGCAGAATAGTATTCTGTTTTTAATTGGACCAGTCCTTTATGAAAGACTTATTTCCATCATGATCTTTCTTTAGTGAACTCAAAAAGCAATGTGTTTACCATAATAATTTGGAGCAAGAAGTCAGAAAACAAGATTTTATAAAACATAATCGCTTTAGAGTCTAAAAATAGAATTATGCCAAGAGTAGGAGATATCAAATCACCTCAGATCAAGTGTCCTTTTAATTTAAAACATTTCTAAGTGCACATTTGGAAAAGGATTCAGGCAGTGTGTCCTTATGCGATTTAAGTGCAGGCACATCCTAGCACTTAAAAATGTCATTGGGGGGAAAAGGGGGGCTTTAGGCGATCTTTGTTTCCTCCCAGTTGGTGCCTGTTCTGAGTTTGTTTTCTTCTGGTGTTTCTGATCCCCAAAGCTCTATTAAAAAGGGATGTGGGGATCTGCTACTTTTCACCCTCTCTTTACAGTTCCAAACCTGTCTCCAAATCCTACGGAGATGCTGCAGATCCCTAAGGTTACCAAAGCAATTTTCCAGCAAGTGGATATAACCTCCTTTGTACATGGGGATAAACCAAAATACTAAAAAGAGATGTGTAGGACTCAGAACAGAATGAAACATTCTGATATTTGACAGGGTTTTTTTATTTATTACCCACCTTCAGCTCAACAACTGCCTTGTTGCAATCCCATGCCTACCGAAAAGGAGTGTCCTTGGGGGGTCCACTGTGGTGAAATAGAAGCATCTACATCCTTGAGTACTAAGAATCCTGTCTTTTGGGCTTTTGCAGCATTTTTATCAGAATGCTGATTTTAGTGTTCTGAAAGGACAATTGTATATAACATGTTGACATGAAGAAGTTAAATTGTTCATTTTCCTTAGGCCACCCAAATTACCTGCATTCTGAGTGGCTGAATTATAGATTTCCTATATATGATGTCACCTATTTTACATCAACTCCAGCTTCTCGGATTTAATTTACATTATTTAAAATTTTTTTTATCCATTCATTAAAAAAAAAAAAAGATTTTTGAGGCCCTCGAACGTGCCAAGCTCTGTGCCTTAAAAGAAACTTGTAAAAATTAATTTAAGATATTATTCACAGACAACCGGATAAATTTCAAGGATAATGTTAATTGAAAAAGAAAGACTTGGTATGATTGCAGCTCTCTAAAAATGCATCAACTTAGGTATAGAAAAAAGGGAAATGAGACTTGGGACTTTCCTGATGGTCCAGTGGTTAAGAATCTGCCTGCCAATGCAGGGGACACAGGTTCAATCCCTGGTCCAGGAAGATCCCACATTCCTTGGAGCCACTAAACCCGAGCAGCACATCTACCAATCTGGCACCCTATAGCCCGAGCACCACAACTAGGGAGTAGCCCTTGCTCACTGCAGTGAGAGAAAGCTTGCACACAGCAAAGAAAATCCAGTGCAGCCAAAAATAAATAAAAATAATAAAAAGGAAATTAAAATTGTTTGTATTAGGGTTGAGTGATTATAGAAGATTTTTTCCTTAAAAATAATCAAAATTTCTAAGTTTTTAAGAGTAAGAAAATTCATATATACATACTGTGTAATTTAGATAATTCTGAATAATTCAAGTTACCAGAGTTTTCCCCTATCTGTCTTTTTCACTCCTGTGTCTCCAGAACCTAGCATACAGTCTGGCACATAAAGGTTTTGCCAGTGTTTGTTGAATGAAGTAATTCAAGTGAAAGAATTGTGGCTCTTTTATTAATTTGGACTCATCATCTCATCTGTTGATCTGATGTTCACAAAGGCCTGTCTGGCATTTGCCTGTAGCCGGCAAAACTGTAACAGATCACTCTGCTCTCTTTGTATTATTTATAGGAATATTTTGCACCATTTCCCTCTGCACTTACGCTGCCAGCATCTCCTATGATTTGAACCGGCTCCCGAAGCTAATTTATAGCCTGCCTGATGATGTGGAACACGGCTACAGCTGGTCTATCTTTTGTGCCTGGTGCAGTTTAGGCTTTATTGTGGCAGCTGGAGGTCTCTGCATTGCTTACCCATTTATCAGCCGGACCAAGATTGTACATCTAAAGTCTGGCAGGGACTCCACGGTATGACTGTCCACACTCAAGTTCACTCCTTGGTGGGCCCGTCCACAGTGCAGACAACTCTTGAAGGGGACGGAGCGGAGTTTGAGTCAGGATCCCAAGCACAAACACCGTCTTTGACATTCCAGTCTGTTGCCTGCCAGCCCCTTGTGGATGACTGATATCAAATCATGCAAAACCTCCATACTTTTCTAAGGACAAGACTACTGTGGATTCAAGTGCTTTAATGACTATTTATGCTTTGACTGTGAGGAGTAGGGAACAGTGCCATGGAACATTTCTCAGTTTAGAAAGAGAGGAAACTGCAATGGAAAAATTTGTACGATTGCTACTTATTTCAGAAAGTTTGTATATAACAATTACCCGAGAGTCATTTCTATTTGCAAAAGGATTCACAACAAAGCGAATATAATTTTCTTGTTGTTGTACCATGCTTGTTAAATTTTAATGCCGCACCTTCGGAACTTGTCCTAATGGTGTCTTGTGTCAGCTCCAAATATTTGTGCATTATTCGTTGATGTTTTTTGTCACAGGAAGATTCTTCTGTTGCCTTATTTATTTTTAATTGAAGTCTCTTCTCCATCTTTGTACTGGAATCAAAATCATAAGAGAAACAGACCAACCGTGGAAGAGTTACCCTGTAATACTATGCAGTATTGTTTGAAGTCCTATCTGTTGTTCAACCTGTCCCTTTATGTTAACCAGATCTCTGCATTAAATGACTGCCTCCTTGTTAATCTGGGTTTGTTTTTCTGTCTTTCAGCCGTGGCAGTAGGTCTCCCTAGCCATTTGGACAGGTGAGAACTCTTGTTTTTAACAGACTTGTTTCATTTCAGTGAGGTTGGTCATTTTTATTTATCCTTTGTGGCTCCCACACACATGCTATTTACAAAAGATATCATTTTTCAAGCTTCTTTTAAAACCTTACTGAAGTATTTTGAGTTTTCTTCTCTCCCTCTTCCTCTCTGTTTGCGTCTGCCTGGTATTTAGCCAGTGATAAGAATTTAGTTTCTGGCCTTATCCTTGGACCTCCTAAGCCAATGGGTTTTAACCTTGGCTGCACATCAGAATCACCTTCTTAATCATCTTCGCTTGTACCTAAACTGGGTCCTATCCCAGACCAATTACTATAGAATGTCTGCAGCTGGGCCTCAGCTTGAATATTTTTGGAAAAGAAACACCTCAGGTATGACGTGCAGCTGCGATAGAGTCACTGTACTGGGTCAGAGCTATGGTTATCTCCTTAATAGCTAACATTTATTTAGCACGTACTGTGTGCCAATAACTGGACTATGTTTTTTCCAGGTATAATTTCATTCAAATGCTCTCAAAAGTTCTATCAGGTAGTGTTAGGCAGCACCCTACAAGCCTTGTGGATGACCAGCTTCAAGATGGAAGAAAGAGCCCAGAGACAGTGACAGAGAGACATCAACAGTTTATTGGACATGAAATCTTAACACACTTGAAGCAAAAAGGTCCTAGAGCAATACCCCTCAGTAGATGGCAGGCAGGCTATGGCAGTGGTCTTCACTACCTGGGGGAGAAGGAGGCTACCATTTCTAAGGGGATTGATGTCAGGTTGGCTCATTAGTTACCAGGGAAACAAGAAGCTGAGCCACGTTCCCTCATAGCCCCCACCCCGCAGGTTAACAACTGTCATGAGGGTGTATGTTTCCCTTTAATAAACTAGCAGGTGGAGCCATTTTGGCCTAAGGGGCAGGGGGCAAGCATATTCCCTTGAGTAGGGTGTAGGTACGGAGAAGGCAATGGCACCCCACTCCAGTACTCTTGCCTGGAAAATCCCATGGACGGAGGAGCCTGGTGGGCTGCGGTCCATGGCGTCGCTAAGAGTCAGACATGACTGAGCAACTTCACTTTCACTTTTCACTTTCATGCATTGGAGAAGGAAATGGCAACCCACTCCAGTGTTCTTGCCTGGAGAATCCCAGGGACAGGGGAGCCTGGTAGGCTGCCATCTATGGGGTCGCACAGAGTCGGACACGACTGAAGTGACTTAGCAGCAGCAGTAGCAGGGTGTAGGTAAAGCAGGGATGGATCAAGCAGAGGATAGTGCTGAGAGCAAGAGAAGAACTATCTTGAGTGGCCTGATCATCCAGGTAGGTACTTTTATTCCATTTTACTGATAATGAAGCTGAAGGGCAGACTCAGAGCATTTGCTCCATTTTTTTTCTTTTTAAATGTGTGGGTATAGGACAAAATTAAAAGTCTTCCATGGCGTTTCCTTATCTTTTAAATGGAAGAGTGTGTATGTTCAGTTCCTAAGCTGTGTCCGACTCTTTATGACACCATGGACTATAGCCCACCAGGCTCCTCTGTCCATGCGGTTTTCCCAACGAGTGCTGGAGCAGGTCGCCATTTCCTCCCCCTGGGGATCATCCCAAACTAGGGATTGAGCCAGCATCTCCTGTGTCTTCTGCATTGGCAGGCAGATTCTTTACCACTGTGCCACCTGGGAAGCCCTAAATGGAAGGGTGGGTTTGCTAGCTAACTTCTATCTTTTCCTTTTAACTTTGGCATTATCTGGTATTCTACACACAACATGTGAGAAAGATGGTCTATAAAAGAGAAAAGATGTTACACCAGAAATACAGCAGTGTTTCAGATTTTAATTTTATAAAAAAATTTTTCTCTCTTCATGATAAAACCTGATTTGGTGATTGTAAAAGGACAGTGATAATCTACCTACCCCTGCCCAAAAATCAAACTTGATTTCCAAGTGATGGTGTCCACATATTGTCATGTGAGGCTTTCAGAAGAGATTAGATGATCCGGGTGACCTCATAGGATCTTGCTGAGGCCCATGGCTATATTCCCCGACAATCTCTTAGGCCCATTTAATAAACCCATCCCTCTGGATGAGATCAGAGATGTATAGAAAGGGACAATTATTTTCATTTATTACTTATGTGGGAAATTTTCAAAGCTGGAGAGCTGTTTCTTTGAAGTTTTTTTTCTTTAAAGAGCTCCATAGAAGATGTCAGGACTCTTGAGCATTTATATTCCAACCACCAGAGCAGCGTCTGAGTAAGTGATTTTTGAAGTTTCTGAGAAGCTTCCCAGGGGCTTGAGGTGTGAGTGGAAGAGAGCCTCAGAGTGACAGACGGTTGAAGGGTTCACATACTAGAAAGATCTGCCCAGAAGCCAGGGGAGTACACTTACGATTCAAACGTGTGTTGGCAAGAACAGAGCTTCCCTGCCTTTCAGTCAAAGTGAGCTCAGAGCAAGGTTTCTTGCTTTCTATTTACTGTCTCAGAGTGTGAGTAAATGTTGCCAAAGACGGGCATTTGGCTTCCAGTCCTTAGGCTTCTCATAGAGGTATTTTCTTAATTGTCTTGCAAATGAGGAGTGATTGAAATGGCCACACAGTACTGCATGGGCAGAAGAATTAATTGAGATAATTTGTTGTTCTCATGTTCTCTCTCTCCCACTTGGAGTTGCATGCCTGTAGCTAGGCTACGTGTGTGTGTGTGTGTGTGTGTGTGTATTTTTTTCTTTGCCTCGGGTGTTTTTGCAGACCAGAAAGCAGAGGTAGCTGATCTCCTTGAAGAGGGGATGCAGAAGTCCAGAAGGGAGGACAGGCCAGAGGACTGACTTTGTGGGCGAGAAGTGCTCAAGGGCATCCCGGAGACTGGAGAGAGAAAAGGGTGGCAGGCCTGTGATTAGCTGGGTCTGTGCATTTCTTGGAAGGATTTCACCAATGGCTCGGTGAAAGAAATCATCTGCAGTGCAGAAGACCAGGTTTGATCCCGGGGTCGGGAAGATCCCCTGGAGGAGGAAATGGCAACCCGCTCCAGTATTCTTGCCTGAAAATTCCCACGGATGGAGGAGGCTGGCGGAATATAGCCCAGAGGGTCACAAAGAGTCGGACACAACTGAGTGACTAAGCAGAAGCACATGAATTTCTTGAGGTTATCAGGACTTTGGGAAGGATGGCTGTGTGGGTGTCCAGAAATACTGGGGCCCTTAGTACAATGGCTCTCATGCCCCAACCATGGTTTCAGAGCAACAGAATCAACGGGCTGGGAGGGACCAATCCTTGGAATAATGGACTTCTCCGTGGTGGCCAGTCTGACCCTTGGAAGGTCTGGGGATGTTGGTACAGTTTGTGTGTGTCCCCAGTAATGACTGAGGGTAAATACCCCCTAAACCTGCAAGGAAGGGCTTTGAATAAAATGTAAATAAATTTATAGAACACCTGAGATTGTAGACTAAGATTCAAGTCCATCTGCCATATATAGATAACATTTACCAAAAAAGAGAGCTCTACCCAAAGCCTTGATGAGATAATCATAGGCCCCATGGGCCCCTCCCTTTATCAGTATCATTTTTGGTTTATTTGCAATGTTAGAAGATTGCCGCCCACTCAGAGGAAACCCTATCCCCTCCTTCTTTGAAGCACCATGGACCCTTAATAAGCAAGAGTCCTGGTATACTTCAAATATTTGTTGAATTCTAAGTGGTTTTCTAGGCACTTGGGGAGCACCAATGAAGCAAAACAGACCAAAATTATTGCCCCTGTGAAGCTTTTTCTAGTAAAATGCACTAAAGTACAAATAAAAAATCTGTTACCCTTTTAAGCCCCATGTGCATGCTAAGTCACTTCAGTCACACACAACTCTTATACTGTATACTGTAACTTCAACACTATATACTGTAACTTGCCACGTTCCTCTGTCTATGGGATTCTCTAGATGAGAATACTGGAGTGGGTTGCTGTTTTCTCCTCCAGGGGATCCTCCCGACCCAGGAATCAAGCCTGTATCTCTTGGATCTCCTGCATTGGCTGGTGGATTCTTTACCACTAGCACCATCTAGGAAGTCCCTTCAGGCCCCACATGATTCCATAAATCCAGGATTAAAGTAATTCAATCCAGTTTTTAAGTAAGTTTCTTTTGAATTATGTTTTCATTGGCTATGTACTTCACTTCACATCATTCTTATTTGAATCTATCCTCAGTAACATGAAAAGTACATTATTAATTTTTTTTTTGGGGGGGGGGATGAGTTTGCCTCTTGAAGACTTCCCAGCCTAACTGGATGATAGACTCTTGCAAGGTGTAAACTGTGTCTTGTTTGAGTTTTGTCTCCAGTGTTTAGCTCTGGAACTCAACAGGTGCTTATAAACCTTTGTGGAATAAATGTATGAGTTCAGTCATAAAAACAAACTCCCCTCTTCCCTGGACAGAATTGACTCTGTTAGCACCAATTTTAGGGAACCCATAAAAAATAAACAGTAGTATAATAGGCTAAATGGAATGAGAGTATAGCTTGGCAAGCAAGGAAGTCTCATTAGAATAATTAAAAGGACTATTAACCTAAACTAGCCCAGATATAACTTGAAATGTGTTATGAACTAAGTACCATGGGACATTTATTTGATGGTTCAAACGGTATTGCATTAGTAACCTCAGTATGGTTCTACACCTCATTTTAAAGGTTTTCCACTTATGCGCTGATACGTTTCAAATCTCTAATTGGAATTCTGAAAGGAATGCTTCAAAAATGATTTCCTTTGAATGTAAATAGCTATATGGACCAAGAACCCTTTTAAATTGCATTATTTGCATTTCCCTGGGGCCCTGTCATTTGACCGGAAGTTCTCCTTGCTGTAGCACAACCACAAATGCCTGAAGATGCTCAGGTCACCCCACTGCATACTGGGAACATGGCTATCCAGTATATTTCCTCTTTATATACAACCTATATTTTGCCATCC